AAAGAAAGAAAGAAAGAAAGAAAGAAAGAAAGAAAGAAAGAAAGAAACCTTTCCTAGACAAGATGGGAGTATATTCTCAGTACCTTAACAAAAGCTTTTTCTAGAGAAAGAATTTTCTCAATTTCTAGAAGCCAAATCCATTTTCTGTATTTGTCAATGAAGAGATGACCTTATTACATTAGGGCTCTTTTAAACAAAGTAGCAAGTTTTATGGTTAAAGCCCAAACAAACAAACAAACAAACAAACAAACAAAAAAACAAACAAAAAAAAAAACAAAAAAAACCAAAAACCCTAAACGCTACATAATAGAATTGTTTTTACAGAGATCCTGGATGGGAGGATTTAAAACTTAAAAGGACCTGAAGGATGGAGGATGTGACACAGTGCAAGTGTCTACCATGCAAAAAGTTTGATTCCTAGCACCCCACCCCCCAACAACAGAGCAAAAGGACCTGCAGAAGAAACCCAGTGATGGTAAGCGTGCTACTGCTTGCACATCAGTATCCATTCCAGTTTTTAAAAATTACTATTTTTTAAATATTTTATTTTTATTAATTACAGTTTATTCCTTTTGTATCTCACCTGTAGCTCCCTCTTCCCCTTCCAATCCCACCCTCCTTCCCTCTTCTCCACCCATGCCCCTTCCCTAGTCCACTGATAGGGGAGGTCCTCCTCCCCTTCCACCTGATCCTAGTCTATCAGGTCTCATTAGGAGTGGCTGCTTGTCTCCCTCTGTGGCCTGGTAAGGCTGCACCTCCCTGACAGGGAGGTGATCAAAGAGAAGGCCAATCAGTTTATGTCAGAGACAGTCCCTGTTCCCATTACTAGGGAACTCACTTGGACTCTGAGCTGCCATGGGTTACATCTGTGCAGGGGTTCTAGTTTATATCCATAAATGGTCCATGGTTGGAGTATCAGTCTCAGATGCCCCTCAGTTGAGGAATGGATACAGAAACTGTGGTAAATTTACATAATGGAATACTACTCAGCAATTAAAAAAAGGAAATTATGAAATTTGCAGGCAAATGGTGGGACCTAGAAAAGATCATCCTGAGTGAGGTGTCCTAGAAGGAGAAAGACAGATGGTATATACTTACTTATAAGTGGATATTAGATATATAATATAGGATAAACATACTAAAATCTGTACACCTAAAGAAGCTAAGCAAGAAGGAGGACTCTGGGTAAGATGCTCAATCCTCATTCAGAAAGGCAAAGAGGATGGACATCATAACAGGGGGAAAACAGGGAACAGGACAGGAGCTTACCACAGAGGGCCTCTGAAAGGCTCTACCCTGCAGAGTATAAAGTCTGCAGAGTCTCAGAGTCTACCCTGAGACTCATGGCCAAACTCTGGGCAGAGTGCAGGGAATCTTACGAAAGAAGGGGGAGATAGAAAGACCTGGAGGGGACAGGAGCTCCAAAAGGAGAGCAACAGAACCAAAAAAATCAGAAAACAAAAGGGTGTTTGCTTTCTGGTACTCCATTGCAGTTTTAAATAACTATAACTTTGCAAAATATGGATTATCAATGATTTCATACTCACCGAACCCATTTCCTGGCCAAGGGCTGCATTGACAACTCCCTTGAGGATATACTCCTGGGAAAACACAATCAGACCAATCGCAGTTATGTGGGCTTTCTTGTTGCCCCCTTGCACCAACTCTACTTCATCTGTGGACCTGCTTTTCTCTGCTATATCCCTGGCTTATGAAAGGGTGAGGAGTCTGATTTGATGTCTAGCAGGCAAGTGTCCATGCAGTAGGGTTTGTCATTGTAAAAGCTCATTCTTAAGCAGAAATAACTCAGTGGGAGACTGGAGAAATAGCTCAGTTGGCAAAGGGCTTGCCATGTAACATGAGGACCCAAGTTCAATTACTAGGACCCATGTAAAAAGCCACTTGAAATCTCAGTCTGGGAAGGTGGAAACAGGCAGATTTATGGAGACTGATAGCCAAGCCAGCCTAACACAATCAGTGAGCCACAGCCCAAGGAGAGACCCTGTCTCAAAGAAGAGGGTAGACAGTGCTTGTGAAAAAATGACCACCATGGAAAAAAAAAAAAGGACAGAAAAACAATGATCACTATGTATATATCATTTCCCCTTTCCAATGTCACAAGAACTACACTTTGATCCTTTTCATAAAGAAAAAAAAACAACATCTGATACCAACTTATAAGGTACTTTCTCTTCTATAGTCCTGTGGCCTCATCTGTATCCTATTTTTTCAATTTTGGCTCAAAAATACTTAACAATACCTTACTCAGCAGTATCATTAGCTTTTATTAAGAGGGCTCATTCTAGCCAGGCAGTGGTGAAGCACACCTTTAATCCCAGCACTCAGAAGGCCAAGGCAGCATATCTCTGAGTTTGAGGATAGCCTGATCTAGCCTGGTCCTATTCCAGGACAGCTAAAGCTGCAGAGAGAAACCCTGTCTAAAAAAAAAAAAAAAAAAAAAAAAAGAAAAGGTCTGGAAGTATTTTTCATTCAGATGTCTCCTTTCTATTCTTAAAAAAAAAAAACAACTCTTTAGAGTGAGTGTGTGTGTGTGTGTGTGTGCTTGTATAAGTGGGTGTGTGTACACACTAGAGCATGTGTGTGGAAGTCAGAACATAGAGTACAGTTGTGGGATTGTTTCTTTCCTTCTACCATGTGATGCCAGGGATTAAACTCAGGCCATCAGCTTGATGGCAGGAGCTTTTCCCAGTAAGCCATCTTGCCAGCTTCATTCAGTCTTTTATTCAATAAAGGGATGCTTTCTATGTACTTAGCATACACAGTGTTGGAGATACAACAGACACAGACCGTAAGGAGTTAACAATCTACTGAAGGAAAAAAGAATTTACAGACTCATACAGTAGTTATTCATTTCATTAGAACTATAGATTTAATTTTTAAGAGATTTAATATTTTCAAGTTTAGCTCTTTCTTGTTTGTTTTTTCAAGACAGGGTTTCTTTGTGTATCCTTGGCTGTCCTGGATTCGATTTGTAGACCAGGCTGACCTCGAACTCACAGAAATCCGCCTACCTCTGCTTCCTGCATGCTGGGATCACAGCATGTGTCACCATGGCCAGCTGGGCTTTTGTTGCTGTTGTTGTTACACAAGTCTCTTAATAGTTACCTGATTCCCTAAAAGCTTGAGCAGAGGCAGGCAGATCTCTGTGAGTTCGAAGCCAGCCTGGTTTACAAATTGAGTTCAGGATAGGCAGGGCTATTCAGCAAAACCCTGTCTTGAAAAACAAAACAAAAAACCAAACAACCAAACAAAACAAAATCGCAGACATTGACTCTTACGAAACCATCAGTGCACATGGTCCTCTTGGAACCTTCTCGAATCCGTCTTCAGCTGTGTCTACAGTGCTGCTCTCCACAGCACTGGCTTAACAGAAATGGAAAGCTCCAATTACCTGTGGTGTAGTAGGTTCCAGATCCTTGATTAAGTTATAAGCTTCCTGTACATCATCTGAAATGTAAGAAATCAGCAGTTAGATGAGCGTGTGTTCCAGCAAAGCTCTCTAATGCAGTCACTAGAAAGTAGGGAGTGGCAGTATTTAAATATTCATACAAATGGGGCTGAGGGTAACAGACTGCTTTACAGCAGGCGCAAGGTCGCTCACATACACACACAGACACACACACACACACACACACACACACACACACACACACACACACACTATGTTTTACCTGACCTCTAATTCTCCAAATTTAAGGCTATGTAGCTATCCTAAAGAAAACTATTATTTTTCTTTTCAAAAATGCATGTATGCATGTCATGTGTGCATGTATGTGAAGGCCAGAGGACAACCCCGGTTGTCATTCTCAAGCATATGATCCACCCACTTTAAAACCAATTAGGCTAGACTCGATGACTGGAGAGACACAGGATCCTCCTGTCTCCACTTCTCCAGGGTGGTAATCACAGTGCATGACAACACCTGGCACTTTCACAGGCATGTTGAAGCTGGAATCAGGACCTCCTTGGCCGGTCGTGGTGGCGCACACCTTTTATTTCCATGCTCAGGAAGCAGATCTCTGTGAGTTCAATGCCAGCACTATCATAGAGACATCCTTTAGGCTCAGTGCTGTCAATAGATTTGTATTTAAATAAGAAAATGCCCCTCCTTTTGAACAAGAAATACACATTACATACACAAAAGTGAAATAACACTGTAGACAGTGTCACTGTGGCTGGAACTCTATGTAGAACAGTCTGGCTTCAAACTTAAGAGATCCACTTGCCTCTGCCTTCTGAGTGTAGAAAATAAAGGTGTGCGCCATTCACACCCAGCCTATCTGGAGTTTTTAGTTTTGTTTTTTTTGTGTGTGTGTGTGTGTCGTTCTTTCTTTCTCTCTCTCTCTCTCTTTCCTTCTTCCTTCCTTCCTTCCTTCCTTTCTTTCTTTCTCTTTCTTTCTTTCTTTCTTTCTTTCTTTCTTTCTTTCTTTCTTTCTTTTTCTCTCTTTCCCTTCCTTCCTTCCTTCCTTCCTCTCTCTCTCTCTTCCTTCCTTCCTTCCTTCCTTCCTTCCTTCCTTCCTTCCTTCCTTCCTTCCTTTCTTTCTTTCTTTCTTTCTTTCTTTCTTTCTTTCTTTCTTTCTTTCACAGCTTTTCAAGACAGCATTTCTATGTGTAGCCTTGGCTGTCTCAGATGCACTTTCTAGACTAGGCTGGCCTTACAGAGATCTGCCTGCCTCTGCCTCCCGAATACTGGTATTACAGGCATGTGCCACTGCACTTGGCTAATCTGGAGTCTTTGGAGGTTCTACTGTTTACTTTTGTTGATACTAGAAATTTTTAATAAAATAATTTGAAAAATATATTCCCTTGTTCATTAATTCATATCTAAAAACAAATTTCTTTTTGCTTATCTATCATATAGAGAGGACTATCTACAAGACGTGTTCTCACAAAATAAACACATTGTTCTCAGTGAGGAATAAGCTGCCTGGTTGGGCTCTGAAAAAGCCGCACTTCTAGGTTGAGATCCATAACCAAGTTTGCTAGACTGGTAAGTTCTGGAAAAAGCTGCTCCAAGAAGGTCTCTAACATGACAGCATTAGATATCACATTCTCTTTAAGTCAGAGCATTTCTCACAAATTAGCTGGACTACAAAGCCAGAGATGCACATATTTTGAGCAAGTACAAAAGTTGATGATTTAACAACAATAGGAAAATGTGAGTGTATATTGTTTTTTTCCTGTTTTTTTTTTCTTTCCTCCTCCTTCTCCTCCTCCTCCTCCTTCTTCTTTTCTCAAGACAGGGTTTCTCTGTATAGTCATGGCTGTCCTGGACTCACTATGTAGACCAGGGTGGCTTCAAACTCACAGAGATCTTTAATCCCAGAATACTGGGATTAAAGGTGTACACCACCATTGCCTGCATGAATGTACATTTTCATAAAAGACAAACAGGAAAAAGAAAATAAGAAAAGAATAAGAAATAAAAATAAAAAAGAAAAAGAAAATAGAAAAAAAATTGAAGACCCAAAAGGAAATTGACAGAGAGCAAAGACAGAACAGTAAGATTAAAAAAAGAAAGAAAGAAAGAAAAACAGAATGAGGGAGAAGAGGTATGTAGTAATGGGAGAAGAAAGAGAAGATAAGGAGAAAAAGGTAAAACCATTACATGGTATTAATTGTTTTTTTTTTTTCATGAACTTGTTGCAAATATATCTTTGGAAGCATTATGCATTTAAAATGTATACACCTAACAGTCAGATTAACTATTCTAAAATTTAAAATATTCATCAGAAGTCAGAACATGACAAATCTCATTACCTTGACGAAGGTAGTAAATCACTAGGTTCAGCCTAGCTTCAGGAATGACATCAACCAGGGGAGGCAAAACCTGCAAAGCCCCTTCGCCTCCTCGGAAAACAACCTGCACAGAAAGAAAGAGTGTTCACATAAGCACATGTCACTGGAAATGCTAAGCAGCCCGGGAGTAGTGGCACACCCTGGGGATCCCACTAGTCAGGAGGCAGGTATGAGGAGTGCAAGTGAGTTCAGGGTCACACTGAGCTTCACAGGGAAACTGTCACCTCAGCATCACAAAAATGAAAAGCCCACGATGGCATTTACATAAAACTTTCCAGAGCCTGTTTCCTCTTTTCCTACATAATTATCATTAATTAAACAAGTTAAAATGGGCTGTGTGGCATACAGTAGGTAATTAAATTTAATTCTACAAGTGTTCATTAGTACCTATATGTCTGCTACCATATTAAGCAGTGGAGTTACAGCAGCACCAAGTCACTCCCCTGCAACCATGTAAATTATTCAAGTATGGGGAGGCCTTCAGACAGCGAACAAGGGCAAACGAGATGACTCAATCGAGATGACTCAATAGGTAAGATGTTTGCCACCAGGCTGGCCAACCTGAGTTCAATCCCTGGACCCACGTGATAGGAGAGCTACTATAAGTTGTCCTCTGACTCCCACACGTATGCCACATGCATGTGCTTGCACGTGCATAAATGCACACATAATAAATTAGCTAACAAACGTGATTAAATTTTTAAAAGAAAAGCAGACAAGTATGTTGTCAAATGATAAAGTTAAAAAGTTTAAAGTTTAAAGTGAAAGTTAAAGAGAGCTGGCTCAGCAGGTGCAGGCCCTTGCTGGGAAGACAGGCAACCTGAGTTCAATCTCCAGGACCCACATTCTTATCTCTAGCAAATTGTTCTCTGATGCCACAAGTCCACACGTGCACCATGAAAACACATCTCCATATGTACACATAAAAATAACCATCATAAAAATTTAAAACCATATTCTCACACTATTCAATTCCTAGAGTCTACCAAGTGTTCAGAACACAGTAAACTGTCCACAGATACAATGCAAATAAGGCATCAAGCATGAACTACATTATTTTTTCCCAACTCAGAATACTCATTTTGATAATTTTTTTTTCTGGTTCATCTTTTTAATGTCCCTTTCTTTAACAAGGGGACTTCTTCATCTGCTTCCTTGATCCTGTGACTTCTAACTCCATTAATCACTGTATCTTCAGTCTTCCCAAACTAGCAGCCCTACTTCTCAACTTGGAGCACACACAAAGGTTTCTGTTCTCCTGTAAAATCTCCACTTGGTTCCTTTGTTCCCTCTGGAGAATGCCCTATTTTTCTTTCAATGCTAATTGCCAAAAGCTGCAGCTGCCTGCTAATTTCCTCTTACCCAGTCACTCCTTAGCCTCCCCCAAATGTGTCTTTTGCTCCCAGCACCCTGGTCAACTTACTCTCAAACATCACAATTTCGCCCTTTTAACTAAATGCAAAGGACTATTCTGTGCTCTTGTCTCATGCTTATCTGCAGCTTGACATTGCAGGCTTTAACATGGCAGTAAAGATCACAACATTCTTGGTAGAATTCCATCAGATGGTGGGTGTTACCAAGAAAAGTTAAAAAACAAAAAACAAGATTGCTCAGCCAGCTAAGGGCTGGTTACTACAGGTTGAAAGGCCTGAAAATTTTTAAGTGCTGCTGCTGATGCCATGAGTACAAAATTCCACACATGACCTCAAAAAGTAGACTCGGCTGGGTGTGGTGACATGTTAGTCTCAGCGCTGGAGACTGGAGGCTAAGACAGGTGGCTGAGTTCCAGGCCAGCCTGGTCTATATTTATACAGAGTTCCAGGCCAGCTAGGGCTATGTAATGAGATCTTGTCTCACCAAGAGAAGGAGGACGAAGAGGAGAAGGAGGAAGAGGAAACAAAGCAGACAGAGAAGCTCTAGTTTCTGTTACTACTGTCTTCAGATGAGGAAGCTGAGAGCCACCATTCAAGACCATTTGCTCAGCGCTCCCAGTGCCTGGCTTGGAAGTACATGCTGTCTGCATCTTACTGTGTTGCATGATGAGAGAATACAACTGCAGCTGAGCTTAGATTTCTCTGATGCAGCGGTAGTCACAATCCAGCCCTGAACCATTACTCATCCAACATGACTTTCCACCTTCTCCAGTGCAGACTTGACTTACAGGCATCCTCTGGCCATCTTACATGTGTCACACTTGTTCTAGATTCACGCCCTAGATTAAAATAAACCTTCAAAAGCTCAGACAGTCTTCAAAGATGAGGCAATCGTCCCCACCTACTCTAACCTTTGAGGATGGTTCCTTTGTTTTTTTCCCAAGGACAAGAAATACTTGTCTCCATGCTTTGCTCTTTTTCCCAAATGCGAACGACATAAATGTTGTAAGGAGCCAGTCGAGGTGGTGCACTCCCATAATCCCAGCGCTCAGGGTGGCAGAAGTAGGGGGGCTGCTATGAGTTTGAGGCCACCCTGGTCTATAAAGTGAGTCTAGGACAGCCAAGGCTACACAGAGAAACCCTGTCTCGAACAAACAAAAACCAAAAACCAAAGCAAAACAAAAGTGTCCTAAGGAAAGAGACTGGTATTTGGAACCCGTTTTATCTCTTCCACAGTAAGGCAGCACTCCCTGGAGTAGCTCAGGATTTGTTGGGGCATCTCATTTCATTCATCTTTAATTGCTGTAATGTTCCAAAAAAGAAAAAAAAAGAAACTATTCACCAGATTGTGCCTGATGAGTTCCTTAGCAAACTCAAAGGGTGAAGAGGCGTTGTCCATCAAGCTTTTGAGCTCTGCCTGAAATATAAAAATGAAAGACTTATTAAAGTAATAAGCATATATTTCTTATTTTTTAAGATTTATTTTGCTATTTCTTTATTTTGATTTTTTAGTTCTCTCTAGGTAGCCCTGGCTAGCTTAGATCAGGCTGGACTTGAACTCACAGAGATCTGTCTGCCTCTGCCTCCTGATGCTGGTATTAAAGGCATGCAACGCCACACCCAACTTGTTATTTTCTTAAATTATATGTGTGTGTGTGTGTGTGTGTGTGTGTGTGTGTGTGTATTTCTGTGTGGATGTATGTACAGGAGCATGGGTGCTTCCTAAGACCAGAGGCATCAGATACCTCTCAAAATGGAGTTATAGGTGGTTAACATCCAACATGGGTTCTGTGAGCTAAAATCTCTAAAAAACATTAATGAAATCAAGCTCAAATTGTGAGACATTAAAACAAAACACTAAATAATCAGTAAATAAAAATAAATAATTTACTGTATGGTAATATAAATTACTATTTAAAAAACTATATTTACTGGGCAGAGCAATGGTGGCTCACACCTTTAATCCTGGTACTCAGGAAGCAGACACAGGTGGATCTCTGTGAGTTTGAGGTTAGCCTGGTCTACAGAGTGAGTTTTAGGATAGCCAAGACTACACAGAGAAACCTGTCTCAAAAAAAAAAAAAAATCAACCAACCAAACAAAACAAACATATTTACCAATACAGACAAGATTAGCTCTGTTTTGCACTTTCCACAACTCTCTCTCTCGATGCTGTTTATTAAAAAGTCAAGGAAACAGGATGAGAGTCTATTACAGAGGGTCCTCTGAAAGGATTCACCCAACAGGGGATCAAAGCAGATGCTGAGATTCAGAGCCAAACTTTGGGCAGAGCACAGGGAGTCTTATGGAGGAAGAGAGTGGTGGGAATAGAGGCATGGAGGGGACAGGAGCCACACAAGGAGACCAACAAAACTAAAAGATCTGAGCCCAGGGGGTCCTGTTGAGACTGATGCACCAACAGAGGACCATGCATGAAGAGGACATAGACCCCCTGCTTAGATGTGGCTGACTGGCAGCTCAGTCTCCATGTGTATCTCTGAGTGAGGGGAGCAGGGGCTGCCTCTATCATGAACTTGATTGCCTGCTCTTTGATCACTTGCCCCTGATGATGCAGCCTTGCCAGGCCACGAAGGAAGAGGATCCAAGCAGTCCTAACGAGACTTAACAAGCTATAGGCAGATAGCAATAGTGGAGAGTTCCCCCTTTCAGTGGACTAGGGGAAGGGGATGAGAGGAAAATGGAGGGAGGGTGGGACTGGGGGAGTTCAGGGAGGGGGCTTCACATGGGATATATAATAAATTGTGAAGAAAAAAAATAAAAACTTCATTTAAAAAAGTCACTGCAAACTTTGGAATGAAGAGAACTTGAGGAAATGATGACAACCGGAAGAACATGTCTGTTAGCATCTGTTATTCTTGTTTTCCAGAATAGGCATAATCAAGAAATGCCTTTACTACTTTGCAGGACAAGTTAGTAGCGGTACCACTTCCATTATCTCATTCATAGAGATAATTTACATATGATTTACATAGAGCCCTGAAAAAGTCACTGAATGCCACCAACATACAACGATGACATAGGATTATTTCTTTTTTTCATGATTATTTTGAAATCATAAAAGACATTATGTTCTCTAAAACTCTAAAGATGTTCTATCCCTGATCTTCTAACACAGGGGAAATGCTTTTCTTCTCAGATTCATTCCACAAGCTTCATTCACTTATATGATATGAACTGTCCACGCCTAATTCCACCTGTTCTTAGGATATTTGGCTGGGCTTGCTTGCCAGCTTGCACCACCATCAGCAAGTGAGTTCTGTGGTTCTCACGCTGCAGCTGCCTGCACAAGCCTCTTAATGCCTGCCTTAATAGATGGCACCTTTCATGGCAGGGCCACCAGTGCTAAGGGTGACAAGCGAGTTGCCTAGGGACAGCATCTGAGTGGATGCCTCTCACTTTGTGCACAGGGTGAGAGTGCCAACACTGTGCCCAGGCAGCCTGCCTGCCTTATGCAAGCCCTGGCCTGTCTCATAGCCTCTGCAAAGTTGTTAGGAACCCAGAGACTCAGATCTGGGTTTCCAAGACAGGGTTTCTCTGTGTGTAGCCTTGGCTGTCCTGGTCTGGCTCTGTAGAGTAGGCTGGCCTCAAACTCACAGCGATCCTACCTGAATGCTAGGATTAAAGGCATGCACCACCACACCCAGCTCAGATGACACTTTTAAATTATTAAAGATTATTTAGTTTAATGCTCTTACTGAAAACAACTTAAGAAAGTATAGAGGAATTATTATTTTAAAGCAAGCTGGATGGTGGTGGCACACACCTTTAATCCCAGCACTCTGGAGGCAGGTGGATCTCTGACTTTGAGGCCAGCCTTGTCTGCAGAGTGAGTTTCAGGACAGCCAAAGCTACACACAGAGAAACCCTGTTTGGGGGACAAAAAAAAAAAAAGTAAAGAGTTATGTCAAAAGTGAAGGGGAAAAACAGATCATAAAGGTAAAAAGTCACACAAGCCAGTTTTGAACTAGAGGGAACTATGAGTTCCTTAGAAGCAGAATTTTAATATATGTAATTTTTGTTATTTGAGAATTTCATACTTGCATAAATTCACATCGTGTTTTGTACAATTAGACTTTTTCAGTCAGGCATGGCGCCTCCCGCCTGTCCAAGCTACACTTAGGAGACTGAAGTGGAAGGATCAGGGCCGTGAGGCAGCCAGAGCTATACAGTAAGAGCCTATGAGCTTGTCTCCAACACCAAACAGTATAAATGCAAGGAGCACAAGTCTAAGAAGGCCGTAACTCAAAGAGCAAACAAGGTCTTATCTAAACAATATCCGAGGAGTTCCTAACTTCGCCCGATTAGCAGCTGAACAGATTTGAACACATGGGAGCCCTAGATGCAATGGACATCGAGAAAAGGTGAGGGAGAGAGGAAGAAAGAGAGGGGAAGAAAGATCTACCCAGAATTTATAACTAATAGGAAATGGGGGATGCTGACATGGAGATGAAGGAGAAGAAAGTGACAGGCACCCAGGTTTCTAATACGGTATACTGGCCACATGATGGTGACACGCAACTACAGAGCTATGAACAGACTTTAGAGAAAGAAGCTGAAGCATTTGATTTTCAATGTTTGTATTAACATACATATGGAGGTAAAACTATCTGAAATACACTAGAACAACATAGATAATCCAGAAGTGAAATTCCTTTTAGACTATCAGTTTTTTTAAAAAGTTCATATAGGGCAAGACATTTTATGGCATGCCTTTAACGCCAGCACTTCAGAGGCCGAGGCAGGCATATCTGTGTGAGGCCAAGGACAGCATGGTCTACACAGAGAGTTGGAGGCTAGCCAAAGTTGCACAGTGAGACCCTGTCTCAAAAAAAAATGTTTATACAATTTATTTGGCTATAAAATCACACTGGCAATAATCAAGGAGCATTAATACAGAGCTATAGATCCTAGGGTTTTACAGAACGACTTGGGAACTATTATAAAGTAACCTCCATTAAAACTGAGCTAAGTATAAACATATCTGCATGCCTACCTCAGCTGCTTTGCCGTTATAAAGGCGAAAGTGATTGCAGGCCTTAAGGTTGAGAGCAATGGTGCTATCAGGTATTTGCTGAAGGTAAACAGCCAGGACTTCTTGAGACACATCATAGTAATCCAATTTGTAGTAGCAGAGCGCCACATAAACGTTGAGTGCCAGATATTCCCTGTCAGCAGAAAGACACAGGCTGAAGTATATGTCACAGAAATGTCTAACTGCCACGCTCAAATGAACAGTAAGGCAAAGAGGATAAGGCAAGAACCTGCCCTGGAAGGAAGAAAGCAAGACATACTTAGTACATTTTCTTTCTCTTTTTGAGTTGTAACATTTGAGTGTCTTTAAATCATCTTTGATATACTTCTCTTTTATAAACGTCTTTATTAGCGTATTAGTTAAACATAATAATTGGTTTGTTTATGACATTTTCACATACACATACAATGTATTTTGATGTATTCGGCCCTTATTATGCTCTCTTTTACCCTTTCCATTCCCACTCATCCCCTTCCTCCTTTCTATTTGTCTCCCTTCTCATGTCTTTTTGTGTATGTGTGTGAACTGGTGAGTTTAATTATGGTTACTTATAAAGACAAGGATGAGGGGTTATGCTTAGGAACAAGGACAACTTTCCAGTGGATATATAACCACTGATGGAAATGTCTCTCTTTTTCTCTCCCCAGCAGCTATTAATTCCTTCTGTACCCTCAGGTAAAACCTCATAAGCCCCTCCTCAGCAACCAACTGTCTATAAGTCCTCAAGGAAGGGCAGGGCTTTGTGAGAATCCCCTCCTCCATATTGGAATGGTGAATGGTCCAATTTTGTACAGGGATCATAGATGCTAGGTATTCAAGAGTATATGCCAAAAGGCAGCATTCTTTAAAATATTACTCTTTCCTCTTATATTCTTTCTACTCTCTCTTCCTTAATGTTCCCTGAGCCCTTGAGGGAATGATATAGATGTTTCACTTAGGGAATACCTCTTTCACCTGTTATGAGTATCCACTGTCAATGCCACCCATTGCAAAAAGTTTTTCCAGCTAAAGCTTGCAGCAGCAGTAATCTATTAGTATAAGAATAAACATTTAAAAGGCACTTGGAGAGGTACATCATATCCCTGTAGAAAAACAACAATAGCTTATCTCCTAGAGCCAATTACTTTTATAGTCATAGGCTTTTAACCAGCTTGACCAGAAATGAATTCCCCCTGAGGAAAGGGCTTCAAATCCAATCAGAAGGCATTTGATTGCCCTCATAACATTTACAGCATTATTGCACAAGTGGGCAACCTTGCCTAGCATGTTGTTAGTTTGGCACACAGGTTCACAGCTGAGTAAGAGTGTTGATGACAATTTTCTTCTAGCAGTTGGCTAAAGCTTTCCAGCATTGCAAACACTAGTCAGGTATCATGGTTTGAATGAGAATGGACCACATTTGCTCATATTTGAAATCTTGGTCCACAGTTGCTGGGACTGTTTGGGAAGGATTAGGAGGTATGGTCTTGATAGAGGAGGTACGCCACTGGGAGAAAGCTTTGAGGTTTCAAAAAGCTCAAGCTCATTTCCAATTGACTCTAGCTCTCTCTTTCGCTGGCTCATGGTTGTGGTCATGGCATGTAAGCTCTAGGCTACTTCCCCAGCACCATGCCTGCCTGCACTATGCTCCCTACAATGGTGGTCATGGAATCACAGTCTGAAGCTGTAATTAAGCCTCAGATTAAATGCTTTCTTTTATAAGTTGCTTTGGTTATGGTGTCTCTTCATAGCAATAGAAGAGTAAAACACCTGGGAAGGAAGCGTCTACCTCAGTTCCAGCTAGATTTCTCTGTATCTTGCAACAGAAGTATGTGGAGTCTTCAATATTAGGACATCAAGTTCTATGGTAACATCTAGTTCTGTTGAGTAATCAACAGCAACGGCAACAGCAACAGCCTGTCTTGTTCAGGAGCCTTCAGGGCCTTCCTGGTCAACAGTTCACAGGGATGCAGCCCATATTTGGAACTGGGATTTTCATTTAATAACATGTATGTGTGTACACCATGTCTGTGCCTGGTGCCCAGGAAGGCCATAAGACGGTATCCTCTGCCTCTAAAGTGGTAGGACTATAGCAGTAAACTGCCATGTCCAGGATTAAATAATGCATTCTTTTTGTTATTTTATAAATTATTAATTTCTAATATACAAAGAAACAGACATTCTCATTATATTCTGTTCTAAGTTTTCCTCCTCCCCCAAGGCCATACATTTTCTTTTTCTTTTTTTTTTATGTACATTGATGTTCTGCCTGCTTGTGTGAGTGTGTGTGTGGGGGGGGGTCAGATCTTCCGGAACTGGAGTGACAGACAGTTGTGAGCTGCCATGTGGGTGCTGGGAATTGAACCTAGATCCTTTGGAAGAGCCACTTCCAAAGCTTAACCACTGAACAATCTCTCCAGCCACCATAAAATTTCAAAAAGGATAATATCATCTCCAAAGGGTAAAAACTAATTCTTACAGGAAGGTGAAAATATATTCATTTTATATAAACACCCACACACTATATATATTCTAAAGAATATTTACATTCTAGGGAAGATGATGCCCTCTTTTGGCCTCCACAGCTACCAAACACACATTTGGTGCACATACATGCAGGCAAAAAGCCCATACACATAAAATAATAAAACTAAAAACAAAAACAGTAAAAGAGAAAGGGTAGAGGAAGTCTAATGTGAACAATATCCAGAGTCTTTTAACCTCACCAGATTATCTATGAAACAGACTTGAGTATGTGGTAGAACTAGGTCCAAAGCAGACTAGGTTCAAAGCCAAATTAGGAACAAAGAAAATAATAACATGGCAGAGATTTTAAGTGGTCAGGAAAGAACACAGACCTGTTATCCAGCAGTATCCGCTTATATATATCAATAGCTTCTTGGTAATGGGATCGCATGTAGTGGATTGAAGCCAAACTAAGCTGGTCCTCTTTGATATCCTGAAGATTCTGGTGAAAGTTCATCAATTTCTTCTCATCATTAAACTACAATTGTGAGAAAAGACATGCACAGATTCACATTCGTGTGAGAGAATCACAGGCGATGGAGGCCGGAACTCCCCTCTGCCACTGTATCACTGTTTTCTCCATCTCTTAGCTCCTTATCTCTTTGGTCCTGCTGTACAGAAAAGATGAGAATGCTCTCTGGAGACAGAGCCTTGACAACAGGGAGGCCATAAGTAACAGTGACGATTTATTACTTGATATCTCCACCCTACTCATTTATTCTCCTTACATTTTCTGCCTTTCTCTCTCTCTCTTTCTTTCCTTATATTTCTTTGCCCTCACCCCTTAATAATTCTTTCCCATTTTTTTTGCCCTCATCCATAAACAATTCTTTCATATTCTTTTGTATTTCTTTTTCTTCAGTGAATAGTATGTAATAAAAATGTATTTGTCATCATGTAACTTAATGTGTATAGGTGTTTTCCAGAATATATACAAATGCATTCCATGCCCATGGAGGACAAAAGAGGGCATTGGGTTGTCTGAAACTATAGTTGCAGATTGTTGTGAGCTGCCATGTGGGTGCTGGGAACCAAACACAGGTCCTCTGCAGCAAGTGCTCTACCAGCTACGCCATCTTTCCAGCCCCCTTAAATCTTTCTTTTAAAGACTGTGTTTCAAAATCCAGGGACTAAAGATCTGTCCTCACTGGGTGTTGTGGTTTGAATGGCAATGGCCCCTTGTTGGAGCAGGTGTGGCCTTGGAATAGCCGTGTCATGGTTTCACAAGCCCCAAGCAGATCCAGTCTTTCTCTGCCTGCTGTGGCTGATCAAGATGTACACTCTCAGCTACTGTTTAAGCACCCTGCCTGCCTGCTTTCTGCCATGACCCTGAAACTGAAAGCAAGCCCCCCAAAATGCTTTTTTTTCTGCCTTCAGCAAGGTGGTGGTACTAAACACCTTTAATCCCAGCACTCAGAAGGAAAAAGCAGGTGGATCCCTGAGTTTGAGGCCAGCCTGGTCTACAAAGTGAGTTCCAAGACAGCCAGGGATGATACAAATAAACTCAGGGTGGGAATGGGGGGCACAACCAACAATTTTGGGGCTGGACAAATGGCTCAGAGGTTAAGAGCACTGGCTGCTCTTCCAAAGGTTCTGAATTGAATTCCCAGCAACCAGATGGTAGCTCACAATCATCTGTAATGGGATATGGTGCCCTCTTCAGGCATGAAGGTACACATGAAAATAAAGCATTTATATACGTAAATAAATAAATCTTTAAAAAAAAAAAAAAGAGCTGCACTGGGCGAGCTCTGTCATCCAAGCACTCAGGGAGGCAGAGGCAGGTGAATCTCTATGAGTTCAAAGCCAGCCTGATCTACAAAGCATGTCCAGGACAGCTACAGAGAGTGAAACCCTGTCTCCAAAAACCAAAAAAGAAAAAAAAAAAAAAAAAAAAAAAAAAAA